GGGTGACCTTATCACTCTGTATAAGTATATTAAAGGAGGCTCTAGCGAGATGGGGGTTGGCCTGTTCTCCCATGTGCCTGGTGACAGGACGAGGGGGAATGGGCTAAAGTTGCGCCAGGGGAGTTTTAGGTTAGATGTTAGGAAGAATTTCTTTACTGAAAGGGTTGTTAGACATTGGAACAGGCTGCCCAGGAAGGTGGTTGAGTCACCATCCCTGGAAGTCTTCAAAAGACGTTTAGATGTAGAACTTAGGGATATGGTTTAGTGGGGACTGTTAGTGTTAGGTCAGAGGTTGGACTCGATGATCTTGAGGTCTCTTCCAACCTAGAGATTCTGTGATTCTGTGATGTAGAGGCTCTGACTCTCATCGGGCCTGGTATGCTGTGGAGTGTAGAGACATCCAATAAGAGTTATTTTCTCCTTTGAGAGGCTTAAATTGACCAAAGATAAACAAGGTGAAGAGGAAACTGTGACAGAAGAACAGGGACATGTCAAACTGCTGGAGCTCAGAAGGAGGCTTCCAGGAGTCCAAGTTGTGGTTTAAGCCAGCAGGCAGCTCCACACCACTCAGCTGTTCACTCACTGGCCCCAGTGGGTTGGGGGAGAGAATTAAGAAAAGGTAAAACTCATGGCTTGAGATAAAGACAGTTTAATACGACAGAAAAGAAGTGATTATAACAATAACAATAATAATATTAATAATAATAAACAAAAGAAGTGATGCACAATGCAATTGCTCCCCACTTGCTGACTGATACTCAGCTAGTCCCTAGGCAGTAGCCATGCCCCTGGCCAACTGCCCCCATATTAATTGCTCAGCATGATGCCATATGATATGAAATATCCCTTTGTCCAGTCTGGGTAAGTTGTCCTGGTTCTGTCCCCTCACAGCCTCTTGTGCACCCCCAGCCTGCTGCTGGGTAGGTGGCGTAGGTGGGTAGCTGGCAGGGTGGTGTGAGAAGCTGAAAAGTTCTTGACTTAGTGTAAGCACTGCTCTGCAACAACTAAAACATCAGTGTGCTATCAGCATTATTTTTCTCCTAAATCCAAAACATGGCATCATAGCAGCAACTGTGAAGAAGCTGAACAAAACCAAAACCAGGATACAGTTGCAGGTTACTAGATGCAGGATACTGCAGGTCACTGTTTTCCATATCAGAAAGGGCATAATGCAGATGACTCCACATTCATGGGTGCTACCTGACATGCTGGTTTTCTGCAAGGTCAACCAATGTCAAGGCAAGCAGCTTGGTACTTTGATGTCTTGTAGCAGCAGGGATGGATGAGAGTAGAAAAGGTGAGAGTGGCCCTGGACCAGGGGACGGGTGAATATGTGTCAAATATTTCCCAAATAAACAATACAGCCTCAGAGGACAATTTTGCACACTATTTGCACAGATTGTTTCTTACAAGTGACATTGCAGTGTCCTAACAAGGGAACTGCTAATAAAAGTGAGTTTGTTCCGTAAGTGATGGAAGTTACTAACATCTTGCTTGTGCCTCATAGGTGGACAGATGGAGGCAGAGCACACTGCTTGTTCTGCAGGTCAAAGATAACATTGTACAAGAAGATGTTCTGAAGGCTGGAAAATACTTCCACTGTTAATTATTATTTACTACTTATAGGATGACTGGTAACTGCTAAAGCTATAATTATAGCAGATATACTATCATACCAAACTACTGTTAAATCTTATATTAAGGGACATGGTACGTAATGTCATTGTTCTTGCTCCTCTACTCCAGCTGAACATTGCTGTTCCATCCAGCATTATCTAAACAAAATATTTTAGTTAAACCTTGCCTTATTCATCAGATTCAGTAAAACAGTTTTCCTATAGATCTTGAGTAAAGCTCATTATTACATTCAGGTTCTTCATCCTCAATTTAATCTATATGTATATGAACGAGAGGTGGGCCTGTGCAAACTTCATGAGTTTCAACAAGGCCAAGTGAAAGGTTCTGCATCTGCTTTGGAGCAATCCTAAGCACACATACAGGCTGGGTGGAGAATGGATTGAGAGCAGCCCTGAGGAGGACTTGAGTGTGCTGGTAGACAAGAAGGTCGGTCAACACAAGCTGGCAAAACTTACTTCTTCTCCATTTTTCTGTTTGCTTCCATCACTGATCTCAGTATTTGAATGGATTTGTTTATTTATTTATTTATTTCCCATAAGAAAGCGTCAATTCATTTGGATTTCTTCGGAGCAATAAAAATTAAACTTCAAGTGTGGAAGTTCATTAGAATCTGCTCAGGCTGTATGTCAGTTTTATTTACATGTTCAAACTACTTTTTTTTCTCCCTCTGTTTCAGAACAGTTGAATTCTGTTTGCTCAAATTACTGTACAATTCTATGAGAATATATGTTGGGAAGATTTGCTTCCAAACTGTGCAGCTTTCTGGCAGCACTGCTGGCTAAAAGAACATACGACTTGGCTGAAAACCACTCCCAGATGTTAGGGCTCCAGAGAGATACGTCATGCAGATGGCACCATCATTACAGATACTAAACTCTAATGCCTTGTCCTGGTTTCAGTTAGAACAGAGTTAATTTTCTTCCTAGTAGCTGGTAGAATGCTATGTTTTGACTTAGGATGAGAAGAGTGCTGATAACACCCCAATGTTTTAGTTGTTGCAGAGCAGCGTGTATACCAAGCCAAGGACATCTCAACTTCTTGCTCTGTCCTGCCAACGGGCAGGCTAGGGGTGCAGTAAGAGCTGGGAGGGGACAGACCCAGGACAGCTGACCCAAACTAGCCAAAGGGGTATTCCATACCATCTGATGGCATGCTAAACAATATATAGGGGTGGCTAGCCGGGGGAGGGGTGCCGGACTGCTCAGGGTTAGGCTGGGCATCGGTCAGTGGGTGGTGAGCAATTGCATTGTGCATCACTTGTTTGTACACATTATTAGTAGTAGTACTATTATCATCATTGTATTTTTATTATTATTATTATTACTATTGTTGTTGTTATTATTATTTTCCTGTCTTATTAAACTGTCTTTATCTCAACTCACGGGCTTCACTTTCAATTGTCTCCCCCGTCCCAGAGAGGGAGGGGGGAGGGTGAGTGAACGGCTGCGTGGTGCTTAGCTGCCGGCTAGGTTAAACCATGACATGCCTGTATCTCTTTTCAATAAAACTAGGGGAATGCAGGAGATCCAGAAACAGCAAAGCTTATCAGAGTTGGGTATCTAAGGTTACTCTCAGTCCAAATTAAATAACTATTTTTCTCTGAAATCAAAATTGAAAAAAAAAAAAAAAAAAAAGAATTCTCGGAAATGTGGGCATTGTTCTTAGAAGACACAGATACTATTTTAAGCTACTTTAAACTTGTGGGGAAAAAATATTTCCACCTCTTTTGTTGAGGATTTTTCTAAAACTTACTGGTCTCTTTACAGTGGAGTTTCACCACAACCAGCTTAAGTTGATAGATTCTGTGTTGCTGTACATGGACAGCTTCTCAGCTTCTCTTCTTACCCAGCACATCACTCCCTTGGCTGTGTCCTCTTGCTTGTTTCCTTGGGGAAATATGCAGATGTGTAGTGCATTGCATGAGTTGGCTGAAAGCATATTTTCCCACCAGGGTTAAAATTCAATCAAGTCAATGAATGGATCTGCCTTCCTGGAGGCAAATAAGTATGAAATGGCAGTGGGGAGAGATGGCTATGGGTGGAGAGGAGGTGGGATTGCCCCCAGATTTAATGTGATCCTACACTCTCTTACACTGATCGTGCTTTTATTTCTTCTTTTTCCTCCTCCTCCCCATGATGTCTGTTAGCCCAGCATGTAGCTTTTCATTTAGTTTATTTTTATTTGTATATATTTATATTTTTATTTATTTATTGGTTTATTTGCTGGACAAATAAAGCTATCCAGCAAAATTATTCAAAGTAAAGATATTCAGACATATAAGCGTGTATATTTGAAATTTTATCTTTGCAGTTCTGTGTTTAATATCTGTGATATATTACAGTTCTTCATAGCAGTATTACTGTTCTTTATATTACTGTTCATTGTAACAGATTGTCTATTACAGAGGTAAAATTTAATAAGGACATGTACATTAATATTATGGCGTAATTTCCTGACTGCCAGACAGGAGATATTTTGATTGTTAAACTATGTTTGATATGTTAATATATGATATGAGTACCAAGTGGGGCCCTATTAACATCACTTACTTAAACATTTTCCAATTTTCCCGTTAAGTCAAAGTGGGGTAAAAAAGGTACTTAGTTCAGAGTGAAAAAATGAGGAGCTGTTTGATACAGTTTCATAGCAGCACAGTTGTTACAGTTAGTAGCTATATATGTGAAAATCTAGCAGGAGAACACATTTTGTTAATGCTGTAAGTACTAGCAGAAATGAGTCCACGCAGAGCAGCTTTCTACTTAACAGGAAAAAAAAAGGGGGGGGGGGGAGAAAAAAGAAAAATAATTGTCCTCGTGCACTTGTTCAGCTGTCAGAGTAATCATTTAGAAATGGATGGGCTCTGTGAGGCAACTACTACACCTTGCCTCTTGAATTTACATTTCCAAGGTTATCTGCACATTTTCTTTTTATGTAACATGTACAACATGCTGTCTAGAGGAACTGTAAAAGGTTTAGGAAAATTGGGAACAACTGCATTTGCATAGATCAACAGCCCTGGAGGTAAAGTCCACCTCTGTGAGAGACCTTCATTTTGAATAGGAGCAAATTGTTTCTCTTTTTCATCTGGTTGCATGTATTTTGCTTTTATATCACTTTTAAACTGTTTTGATTAGGAGCTCTTGTTTTGTGTTGAAAAAACACAGATATAATAAATCTATGAGCCTGTATTCCTCTATAGGGTTTGAGGTAACTGAGCAAATACAAATATAAATAAAAATATAAACTATTCACATATAATTGTAAATATAACTATGTTTATATAAACATAGAAAATCACAGTGATTTTTTTTTTGTTTTGTTTTGTTTTGTTTTTGTTTGTTTGTTTGTTTGTTTTTCCACAGGTCCAGATTAGGGCAGGTTCATCATTGCTTATAGATCTACAGGCTAACCAGCTAAATGGCAGTGGTATCTACTCTCTAGTCCGAAGGACAGCGAGTACTCCAAAGCCCAAAAGGACAAAAGTTTTTGCTATGCCTGAATACTAGGTAAATTGGTGGCTGAATGTAATCTCTATCTTTGTATTACTTATTGTATATATACCAGCCAAAATAAGCAAGTAAGATATAATTAAGATATAGCCCAATCTGGATACAGTCTATCCTTAGAAGCATTCAAGCCTAAGGAACTAAGTATGTGACCAATGGTAACACGAAACTACATGAGACTTGCTTTTGTTGATCAAATGTGACATTTCAACTAATTATATTTGTTATACTTTTGGTGCAAAAACTGGTAATGTCAGAAACAGAGCACAAGACGCTGTTAAAAATCAAAAAGGCAGATGAATTTGCCTTCTATCCATAGTAAATATTAAATTAATTATTAAATAATTATTTCCCTTTTTGTCCTGTGAAATGTTTGAAGATACCCCGAAAACAACTAAGCAAAACAAAACTCTGTTCATGTTTTATTTACAGTAACAATACAGCATGCTATATCTGCTGGTGTCACTCAAACTTACATCACTAAAATCAGTGAGAAAGATTTTTTTTTTTTTTTTTAATCTGAAGATCTCATCCTGGTTTAGCTGCAGAACTATGAGACACTCTTCAACCACAAATATATTCCAGATATTTAAGACCAATGAGGACATGAGCACTTGCAAAGGGCAGCTAAATCTGGTGTTTATTTTAGGAATACTTTAGGGATTTTCAGCTCAGAGTCCTCAGCTGTTCTGTCCTGGACAATAAAGCAACCACAGAGGACTTTGAATAATTCTGCCCTGTAGGTAGCACATGATTTATGAACAGAGGGTTTATTTCTGCAAAACAGTTAAGACCAGGAATGTTAATTCAGTAATGTTAAGGTGATGGGGTGGATGGAAGGTGTCAATGAAATAAAATGCAGGAATAAACAGTTATGAATTATATGTATTGAGGAATTGCTGTGAATCCAAAGACATACAATTGCAGATCTTGTGCTTTAGCAAAGGGAGGAAAGATGAAACGAACAACAAAAATACAACTGGCAAAATATATCTGGTTGGCTTTCTGGGCTGAAAAGCACATTGCCAGCTTGTGTCAAGCTTCTTGTCCACCCACACCCTCAAGTCCTTCTCCTCATGGCTGCTCTCAATCCATTCTCTGCCCAGCCTGTACGTGTGCTTCAGATTGCCCCAGAGCAGATGCCAGACCTTGCTCTTGGCCTTGTTGAAGTTCATTTTGTTGAAGTTCATGAGTTTCTAACAGGCCCACCTCTCAAGCCTGTAAGGGTCTATGCATGGCATCCCTTCCCTCCAGCGTACTGACTGCACCACACAGCTTGGTGTCATCAGAAAACTTGGTGAGGGTGTGCTCAATCACAGAATCACAGAATGGCCAAGGGTGGAAGATCTGTAGATCATCTAGTGCAACCCCCTACCAAGCAGGATCACCTAAAACACATTGCGCAGGATAGCATCCAGGCGGCTTTTGAATATCTTCAGAGAAGGAGACTCCATAACCTCTCTGGGCAACCTGTTCCAGTGCTCTGTCACCCTCACAGTAAAGAAATTTTACAGACTTACACACTTAACACATGATTAGACACCTGCTATGGGAAGAAATAAAGAGGAAAAAAAAAGAAGAGTGATTGCCATAGACTGTGAAACAACTCAGTGGTTGGTTTCTGCATCAGTCCTCAGAAATGTACCTGTTTCCTTACTTCAGCCAGTGCAAACTGGCTGTGTAGATGTGTAGCTATTTTATAGCTTTCCTATGAAACAAGTGTCTTCATGTGCATATCGTCTCCTCACATGCTCCTTTCTCTTTCTATTTTATCCTCTGCCCTATTCTGCATGTTATTTCTTGACTTATATTTCCTTCTTAATATTCCAAAACGCATAGAACTAGTCTTTGTATTTAAATGGGATTACATGTTTTCTAACAGCTCAAAGAGAGCTAAGACATCTGTTCCTTCCCTTACCAATCAATTCCAAGGTCATTCTTCAAATTCAATTCAGTAATCAGTCTGAAACTCAGCCACTATGGAGTAGAATGAAAATCCCCTGCCAACATTTTTTGTTGTTTGTTGTTGTTTTTGTTTGTTTTTGTGTTTGTTGTGCGTGTTGTTTTTTTTTCCTAAGCAACCCATACTCAGCAGTTCCTCATGCATATTTGCCTTCTAGAGATCTTTACTTCAGAAAAAATAATATTTCAGTCAAATTAGAAATAAATAAATAAATCTCTGGCTCACTAATCACCTGCTGCTAAGTCGCCTGTATTCTAATTTTCAGAATATGTTGAAGATTAGCAGTGCAATAAAATCTCCTTTCCTGAATTTCAGCTATTTCCTGCAGCTGCTCATTGCCTTGATCATATTTTTGCAGTGCATAATCAAAACCTCATCCCTTGGGTTGCACCACACTGATGGAGCCTGGAATTGTCAACTGAGTAGGAAGCTCAGGCCCAAACCTGTCTCTGAAATACCGTGCTTCTACCCCTAGCACTACAAATAACATTTCTTCTTGCTAATAGATGTGAAAAGCTGTGGTTCAGTAATTTAGACCAGAGATACCAGACCTTAGGAAGATACAGCAGTACACTAGATGAAAAATAAAAATGAGTGTCCAAAGGAACAAAAGAATAAGTCTGGAGTAGTCAGGAATGAAAAAAAAAAAAAGAAAAAAAAAAAGAAAAAAAAAAGTGACACTGAGGTTAGGAGAACTGAGAGGAATATGCATATAGTGAGGATTTAAGACAAACTGTAGACAACTTACAAGTCAATATTTAGAAGGCTACTGCATCATGTTAATGAGTTGAGGGGTGGCTGGAAATGTACTTATTACCAGCCTGCCTCATTAATTTTGAAGTTTCTGAAGTTTCTACATATCTCGCAGCACATTTTCTGGAAGATTGGCTCAGCTTGAAGTAGAAAATCAGGCAGAGATTCATGACAATTAAGTAGAAAAAGGGACAGTATCAGACTCTTTCTCTTTTTTAATGCCTTCAGCTGACTTCAGAGGGAGACACAGAGCAGATGCTGGAAAGAAGTCAGTCATTTATGAGGATGTTTACAGCACAGTGATGGTAGCTTACAAGGCCATAGGCAAGCTAACTTTAAGCCATCTTGGTCAGGCAGAGGTCATGGAAGAAGGATTATAGCTCCATGAAAGCCTGGAAGCTCAGCACATTTGCCAATGACACCAAGCTGTATGGTGTGGTTGACATGCTGGAGAAAAGTGATGCCATCCAGATGGACCTTTACAGGTTTAAGAAGTGGGCCTGTTCAAACCTCATGAACTTCAACAAGACCAAATTCAAGGTCCTGCACCTGGGTCAGGGTGGTCCCAGACATGAATGGGCAGAGAATGTATTGAGAGCAGCTCTGATGAGAAGGACCTGGGGCTGTTGATTGACAAGAAGCTCAACATGAGCCAGCAATGTGTGACTGCAGCCCAGAAATTCGACTGTATGACAGGCTGCACCAAAAGAAGCATTGCCAGCAGGGCATGGGAGGGGATTCTCCCTCTCTGCTCTGTGCTCGTCAGACCCCATCTGGAGCACTGTGTTCAGGTCTGGGGCCCTCAGCACTAGAAGGGCAATACTAGAAGTATTAGAACGACTCCAGAGAAGGGCCACTAGAATGATCAAGGAGCTAGAGCTTCTCTTCAATGAAGACAAGATGAGAGAGTTGGGGTTGTTCAGCCTGGAGAAGAGAAGGCTCCAGTGAGACGTTATAGTGACCCTCCAGTACTTAAAGGGAATCTACAGGAAAGCTGGGGAGGGACATTTTATTGGAGAGTCTAGGTATAGGACAAGTAGTAATGGTTTTAAAATAAAGGGGGATAGATTTAGATTAGATGTAAGTAATAAATTCTTTATTATGATGGTACTGAGGCACTGGCACAGGTTGCCCAGAGAAGCCATGAATGTGACATCCCAGAAGTGTTCAAGGCTAGGCAGGATGGGGCTTTGGGCAACCTGGTCTAGCAGGAGGTGTCTCTGCCCATGGCAGGGTAGATGGAATTATATGTTCTTTAAGGTCCCTTCCAACCCAAACCACTCTATCATTCTATGATTCATTCTAAGGATACTGAGAGAAACAGTTAAGAAAGCTTCACTGAAATCCAAAATGATTTCATCAACTGTCTTCCCTTTATCAGCTAGGTGAGTAATCTTGTCATAAAATGAAATTAAGTTAGTAAAACATGACTTTCCCCTTATGAACCTGTGTTGGCTATGGCCAATGACAAATGTTTTTCGATAACTCCCAGAATAATCTTCTCCATAATTTTACCAGGTACTAAAGTGAGACCGTCAGGCCTGTAATTGCCAACTCTTACCCTTCTTGGGAAAACTGGGACATTTTCCAACTTCCAGTCGACTTGGACCTCTCCAGATTGAGTGAGTTCTCAGGACAAAATCAGCCAACTCTTCAAATATCCTGGGATAAATTGCAGGGAAAAAAAAAAAAAAAGTGTGAATTTCCCAAATCAGAAGAGATATTTATAGGGAAACAGTGTCCACCCTTCTGCCAGATGTCAAATTGCCAGAGCAAACTATGGAGGCATTTGCAACTTGAAAATGTTGAAAATGAACTGAAAGAATAATAGAAAACTGTGTGGGATCTGAAGGTCTGCAGTTCCAGGTACACCAAGAAGCCAACAAGGATTACTCATTTATCACTAACATGCTCACATTCTCAGATCACTGCCAACCCAGAAAAATGAAAGCTCTGCAGAGACACAGAGAGAAGAGAGATTTCTCTTTAAATCATGCCTACCACAAACCCCTGTCAAAGGGTTTCATTAAGCTTGAGAGTTGACTAAACAGAAGATAAAGACTGGCTGGCAAAGTGTATTTAAATTGAAGTTTTCTGGTGCCTGCAGTTTCCTGATGTTAGACAAATGACATTCCCCTCCTGCTTTCCATCTTTGAGTTCTTACCTGTATGTACTGTGTAATATTGCCAGCATTCATTCACTCCATGATATGTTGTTTTTTTTTTATACGTGCTCTGGGGCCATTCTCAATTACATGAAAATATTTGCCAT